AATGACTCTTACATGCTTTAAAGCTTCTACACTAACTTTCCACAGCAAAGCTTATTAAAAGACAATTGCTCATTCAAGCTTTGCCACCTGCAAACTTTAACTTTTTCATGGTTCATATCTTCAAGTTGTTCCTGAACAAAACCCTCCCATTTTTCAAGTTAGCAAAACACGCTTTTCTTCTTGGTAACAGAAACTGAACAAATTTGTTTCTTCAACATTTCCAAGAAAAAAAGATCACTTCTGGGCTGAGGCAAATCCTCAAAACTTTCATCCCAAAAGGAAAAATTAAGAAAGTCATTAGTGAATGAAAATGGAATATTTAATCATGATAAGGGGGTTAAGACAGATACTCGGCTGGAATGGTTTAGTCAGGGATGATCCTGCCTTGAATAGGGGGCTGGACTAGATGACCTTGTGTGAATCCTTCCAGCCCTACTTTCATAGGATCTTATGATACTACATTTAGGGCAACTACAGAGAAAAAAATAAATACTGAATGTAGATACTACTAGGGCCAAAATCATGTTTTACATTACTTTGGAAGAGGAACCTGGCTAAGAACACATACATATAATAACAGCAACAACAATCTGCTGCTCAATTAGATATTCCTATCAGAGGATCTAAAAGCACTCAAAACAGTTGAATAAACCTCACATTCTCCAGATAAAATAGGGAAATATATTCATTTCCATTTCACAGGACAGAAAGTAAGGCACAAAGGTGAACTGAGTTGTTTAAAGAGCCAGTCAGTAAAAAAAACTGGGAGTAGTTCCCTTTACCTCTCTCAGTTCCCTGCATTAACCATTATACATATCCATTTGTGTTAGGTAAATGATAGGTATCAATAATATGAGGAGGACCTATGCACTGGAAACATGTGAGAGTCCCACAGACACTTACCTTTTTTGGCTCACTGGCATAAGCAGAAAGACCTGGCTTCACAGATTCAAAGATCTCCCCTTCCAGCTCAGGAAGCCGTTCTGCCCATATGAAACAAAGCAATAAATGAGACAGTCAATCACACCAGGCTCTGCTGCTCCTTAACTTCAGATACTAACTAAAGCATGTCACATGAAACCTCCTGTAATGTAATCCCATCCCCCTCCTTCTACAGACAGAAGGCAGGATGGGGGGGCACCTTAGAGACCAACTCGTTCAGAAAGGCATGAGCTTTTGTAGTAATAGTCTATTTCATCATCTGACAAAATACAAAAGCTCATGCTTCTTCTCTGAAAGGGTTAGTCTCAAGATTTCCCCTGCCCTGCTTTCTGCCTGCCTTCAGATTAGCGGGGCTAACTACCTTCCCCCTCCTAGTTAAAGACAACCATCACCTGAAACAATTGCTGTTCCGTTTTGCCTTGGGAGATGTAACAAAATATGTGACCTTTGTGCCCTCTAAGTTCATGAACGACTAGTTAAAGCACAAGTTACAATACAAGGCAACACATCAAGAGACAAAGGTCAATACAAACCTCTATTACTTCACTAACACTCATTCCTTTTAAATAACTACCTACATGAAAACCTTCAAAAACAGGGCATTTTCCACTATATCAAGCACAGAGGTGAGTAGCCATGTTTATTTGAAGGCAGGCAGAAGGTAGCCCCTCACTTGATGCATCTGTATTATGCCATGGTCTTTCCTTCTGTCCCACTACACAACTCATTATGGTGCAGCTATATGGAGACAGCAAGGCTTTTTCCTATCACCTACAACTAAGGGAATATTCCATGACAGAGAGTTATGCAGTGATTAACCCACCAGAAACCTGACTTGTACACAGCACAGCATACCTTCTCAACTTCAGCTGAGAGCTACAAACCTGCTTTGGCCCTCTACATAAACTGTTTCCATCTCTGTGCCTACTCAGAGATTGCCAAAAAATAGTAACGCATATAAATTACAACCACAGTCCTGCAGTACAGAGACCCAGATTCAGCCTTAAAAAAACACTGATATTGTCATACAATGGGCTGATAAGGGGCTGCCACTGTTGTTATGGACACCTGTTAGTCTCTAAGGTGCCACTCTATCATGAGGTTCAAAGGACTTGGCATTTATTGGATCAAGAGGGAAGAGATCTCCACACACACTCCTCTCCACATACTGAGAACACCCATCTCCCAAAGCTAGCAGAAGTTTCCCAGCTATTCTCAAACCCTGGGATTGTGCAGTCATCCAAAGGAAGCTAAAGTCTAAGCCAATATATTCATGGTATGGAACCTCCCAGGCTGGATCCCTAGGAAATGCACCTCTTGGCTGCAATTCTGCCACCTGGCCTTACCTGGATTCTTCTGTACAAAGGTATAAATGTGAATTCGAGTTCCGGTGCTACCTGCATCAAACATGATGCCATAAAAGGTGTAGGCACTGACACTGGCAGGGCACATGTTAGATGGAAAGAGACCCTGAAACCACATTTCCTGTTGTGAATGAAGAACAGTGCAGTATACAGAGGACAATGCCAGCACTAGGAAGCCGATGAGCCAGATAGGTGCCATCCTGCAAGCGAACCTTGGGACAGCTGGAGTATGGATCAGTATTCCCAAAACTGCAGTAGCTCCTAGAAAGAGAAAACAAGAACAGATATTACCAATGGCTTTCTCCTTTGCCTATTAGCTTAAAGGAATCTGCCCAACACAAAAACTTCCCACCTTTAAAGAAAAAGGTGCTCCTCTTGGTTGTCCCTACCCAAGAGGCAGGCTCTACCTTACACAGAGCCACAACTCCACCTAGTTGGTTTATTCATTCATAATAAAGGTGCCTTCCTTTTGCTGCAGATATCAGTAGGGACCAGTTAAAAATCTTCTGAGTGCCAGTATCCTTAATCCTGACTTGCTGCTTGGAACCTTTTCTCTCTTTCACCTGGGCCTCAAGATCAGAAGACTCCCAATTTAACAACCCCAGAGCTCTCCCAAAAGCTCAAGTCTCAGCTGATTCAGCATCCTATTCAAGTGGAGATCAGGCCATTCTCTCTGCACTATGACACCACTGCATGGGATGCTGGCAGGGCAAAGAACACAAATGTCATTCAAAGCCACAAACAAAGAGAATTTCATCTGCAGCTGAGAGCAGCTGCTTGGAGAAATCACTGTATGGAGAGAGTACAGGGCACATCCTTCATGCTGTGTGAGGGAAGGCTGAATGGTGCCATACCCCAGACTCCAGTTTCTGAAGACTTCCTGTGTTGTCCAAACTTCTCAAGGGGAACTTTGCCTTCAGAATGCCCATCTTTGCTTGAAACCAGGCAGGATTGTGGCCAACTGGTTTATCAGTTTGACCTGTTCTCTCCCCCTTCTTCAAGAAATTAAAGCTCTTTACAAAGCTTACAATATGCTACCCTTCTTTGTGGTCTCAAAAGCACATGCTTCCATGTTAGGTCTTAAGATTCAACAGCTTCCTTCCCAATACCCTCCACCCTGTTATCAAATCCTTCCTGCAATGACTTCAGAGATCATAAAGTAAGAAAGTAAAGACAGAGGGCCAGGAATAGCACCCCCATTAATCAGGTCTATAGTTGAAACAAAGAGGAGGAGAATATAGTGGGTTGTATTATTTTTATTATTTGGTAGCAGCAAGAGCATCCAGTCGGGGCCACATTGTGCCAAACAGAGCAGGCGCACACACAAATCAGTAACAACACAATTCAACACTCTCATGCACACACCTCTGTAAACCATGTGTCCATCCCACTTGTCATTCATATCTGTTTTATGTACTTGCATATCTGACTGCTTTGCCAAAGATCCTCAGCTGCTTCCAGCCCACATATCTGCCTGCCCCTTACAGATAATCATATCACCACTTTGTCTGTGTGCCCCCTCACGGTCCTCACCTACATACTCTGCTATGCAGCCATCCCTCCCAGTCCCTACATCTGTTTGTCCCTCATGTCTTCACATTACAGTCTTCACCCAGTCTCTGCCTCCACTCCCATGAAGATCACTGCTGAGGGTTTCTGTCTTTTGTTACAAGTTTAGCCCTTCCAACAATTTGTCTCCGATTTCAAACCTTCACTTTTAACCCTAGCTACAGCAGTAACACTTGCAGTAACCATGTCACACTGAGCTGCTCCTCAACTGGCTTTTGTAACTCCCTCCACTGCTCCAATGTCTCCAAAGCAGAACACTATGTAGCCTATGGCAGAAGAGCAAGGCTCTCCCACTGAAACCTTAGCGAACCGCACTGAAAGTCAAACTATCCTGCTCATAATTCCCTCCCAATAATGACCACAGAGAGCTGCGTGCAGCACGAAGCAAGCAGGAACAAGAGTGGCTCCTGAGGACACAGAAAAGGGATTTAAAGATTTCACAGGACAGCAACAGCACTAGCTTCTCCTGACTGTCACTAACATGTCTCTATGACACCAGTTCCAAACATAAACAGTTCCTAATCTAATCCTATATTAGGGAAAGATGAGGAGGGGCTCATTCCTAACCTGGAACAGTTGTTAGTCCTGCCCCCAGCAGAGATCTCAAAAAGGCCCAAGCTGTGCAGTAGCTGTGTAGCAAAGCAGCTGCAGGAAGCTGTAACTGTTGTCAGCAAGAGTAACTGGGAATCTCAACAAAGTGAGAACCTGAGCACTGTGCCCCAGGGTGTCATGTGAGATACAACTGCATTTGGAAACCCTGCCCTTTGATTGGTCCCTTGCTGTGGTGTTATTATGGCACAACTGAGTATTTTGTTACTAATCATACCAAAATTAAAATCTGTGCACCTGCATCAGAGAAGGCTAAGCTGCTGGAAAAGACCTCTGTTGCATCTAAAGCATGTGACGCCTGGATCCTTATGTAATGCCTAGAACATGGTTGTTATGAAAATAATCCATCAACTACTACTCTCAACATCATTTGTCTATTGCTAAGTTTTCTAATAAACAGACTTCAGCCTCCTCTTCCATCAGCTTCTCTCTAAACCCTTTCTTTGAACCCTTCCTCAGCCACCCAACCTCAACTGTTATCAGTCACCCCCCAACCATCCCCATGCCTTCCCTGTTCACTGTCTTTTTTCTTCTTCTTCAAAAAAGTCAGGATTCACTGCTTCTTCACTTCCCACTGGAGTTCCCAGGCTAGTCACTTTGACACTGATACTATGTTCATTTGGTGAGGAAAGGTCAGCAAGAGGCTTAAAGAAGTCAGAGAGAACAAGAGGAGGGAAATAGTGGAAGATAGAGAAACCTAGCTAGAAAGTAGGACAGGAGAAGGGAGGTAGCAGGAGTAAGTAGAACTTGTGGAAGGTGCAAAGGGAAAAATGTGTAGCTAGGGCACAAATCTCAGCTCCTACAGAAACTTAGAGAGAGATTCACTACCCAGAAACAGGAATAAAGGGCCAATTTTTAAAAATTCATATAACTAGAAAATACAGCTTATTCACTAGGTAACCCTTCTAAATAATTTAGGAAACAAACATCCTGAAATGATCCTGTATCACTGTTAGCAGGGAACATTTAAATCATTCAAACACTTGAAGGGGTAGTGGCTGCCTCTGTACTTACTAACAACCTGTCTTGTGGTAACTATTTCCCACTATTAACTTCATTAAGATTTACATCTTCTGGTAGAGGTTTTCTAAATAATTAGACCTGGTCTAGATGCTCCGTTCCTGTCTTTTTCAACAAAACCACTAACCTCTTGATTAGTATTTGTATCGCATTCATATCTAGAAGTCATACACCTGTCTGAACCATATTATACCAGGTACTGTATGGATGGCAAAGGCAGTCTCTGCCAAATGGCTTTCCATAGGAGTAACTTAAGAAAAGATGTGACATGAGTAAACCAAACAAGGAAGGGGAGAGGGAAGGAAAAGAGCAGGAAAACAGTAATATGAGTGTATGCTACACAGGCTAAAGGAGAATACACCATGGAACAGAGGACATAAGCAGATTAGCAGCTCAGATTGCTTCCTGCCTATCAGTTATCAGACAGCAGCAATAATTACTGTATCCATGAAACATAGAGTACCTTAGCTACATACCTCAGACCAAAAGGATCCAAGGTAAGACTTAAGTGATTGCTCCTCTACCCCAAAGCTCCATGACAACAGCTGGAAAGATATGAAAAGGGATGCTGCCTTCACTTACCTCTTCTTTATCCCCACTTTCAACTAACAAGGCAGGCCTCTTCACCACTGAAGCTACTAGACTATGCAAGCTGTTCTTTATTAGTCTGAATTTATTGATGATCAAA